ACGTAAGTCCAGCTCTAGCGTTTTTATGATCTCTAATGGTCACTTGGATTTCCAGTCACTATTTATATACATATAAAACTGTATTTATGGTGCTGGGGAGATGGCTCAGCAGTTAAGAGCACTGACTGCTCTTGCAGAGGACCCGGGTTTGATTCCTAGCACTCATATGGTGGCTAAAAACTGTCCTTAACTCCAGTTCCAGGGGAATCCGAAATTCTCTTCTGACCTTGCGGTATTGCACGACATGGGTGCACTCACATACATGCAGGCAATACACTCATAAAACAAAAATAATAAAATATTTTTTAAAAACTATATTTGAATGTTTAAGTCCTTTATTTTAAAAACCACTGCATTTAAGAAAGAACTAGAAACTTTAGGTCAACTTCCAATGCAAACTCAAGTTTACAATTTATGTTAAAATATAGGGCATACAGTTTAAAAATGGATTTTGCATGTTTTTTCTGGTCTATGTAGAACTTTGAATGGTTAGCTGTTCTAGGAATGCTATCACCATAACTTAGCTGGAGTGGAGGGCAGACATCATTCCCACTTTATTGGGGCAGCATCCCATAGGATCCAAACTGAAAATCCTACAGGGTGTTGAAGACCTTACCAACTCTCAAATAAACCTTGTTTCTAGAGAGTCTTTATGCTTTTTATTTGAATCCCCCAAAGCCTCTGACTTTTCAAGCATAACTTTCCTTATAATTTGGCTAAAGTGTTCTTAAGTTTATGTTGTATTTAAAATTTTTATCAGCTTCTCACAGTTTTTAAGGAAAACAAAACCAAAAAACTCCCAAATCCTCAGAGGCCTGAGACCTTTTTTGATCAAAACAGAGCTTACCCCTCTGCTCCATTCCCTGCACTTATCAGTGAACTTGCACACACTATGCACTCCCCCTCCTACCTCAAAAACCCATTTCTTCTTTCTTCTCCTAGGTTATTCCTTACAAACCTTAGGCTAGTTACAAACCTTGAGGCTAGTTCAATAATTTCTTCTAAGGTTTCTCTGTTGGGAGTGCACACCCCACTATGCATGTAGAGTGCTCACTACACAACTTTACCAGAACACTAACATGGTGATTATTTTGCCTCTAGTGGTAAGAATGTCTTCTCATTCAGCCCTGGGTGTGATACTCGGTGTTATTAAATGAGGAAATGGATATACACCTAAAGTAGACACTGCAGAGTTTGTTATGATTTTGAGTCCAACTTGAAAATGGTATAGCAGTCTACACCCTCTGGTAATTTAAACAGTTTTATGGAAAAGTGAGCTAATTCAGAGATTTAAATATGACTAATATAATTCACTGAAGGAAAAAAAAAAAGAGACAACTCCAGATGCTGAATATTCAAGATAACTTGGACAAAAACTATGGTTTAAACAGAAATGATCCATGGACTTGAAGATCAGGTTCACATCTGAATTGCAGAGATTAACAAATCATCTATCACAGCATGGGCCGGGTGGGAGCTTCTAAGTCCTTTGATTTTTAGTTTATGGATAGTTGACTTTAGTGTCTCAGGAAGAAAAAAAATCTGCCTTTAAAGGAATGGTCTTGAGAAGAAAGTGAGACCCTGCCTAAAAAACCAAAACCAGCCAGGTGGGGTGGCACAGGCCTTTAGTCCCAGCACTGTGGAGGCAAAGGCAGGAGGATCTCTGAGATCCTCCATCTCTGAGATCGAGGCCAGCATGATCTACCTTGTGAGTTCCAGGCCTGCTGAGGCTACGGGGAGACCTTCTCTAAAACCAAACCAAACCAAACCAAACCAAACCAAACCAAACCAAACCAAAAAGAAATAGACTTGAGATTGCTAAGGGAACGTGGATCTACAGAATAGGACACACACACACACACACACACACACACACACACACACACACACAGAAGAGCTCTGGAGTTTCTTTCTTATATTGTCCTGGAAAGTTGTTATTAATGAAAATTTTTGATCCTATCCCAAACTCACAGAATCTGAAACTCTAGGTGTAGTGCATAGCAATTTGTTTTAACAAGCCCATCAGGTGATATCCAATTTTGATAACTATTGATGTGCTTTTCAAGTTAGAGAAAAAAATCTTTACATTTATGTGGAGTACTTTACGAAGAAATAAAAACCTCTGACCAAACTCAGCAAAGCAGAGAAAAGACCTTCGGAGCAGTCACTGCTAGTGTCTAGTGGTTGGTAGCATTACTAGAAACACTAAAAGTTTTGAAGTTTTAAATATAGATGAAATTACAAGAGCCACACAGAATTTAAAAAAAAAAAAAAACACTGACAGGCTTTGTACTGTGGATTGAATCCAGGGTCTAGCACATGCTAGACAAGTGCTCTAGCACTGAGCTGGATCTACAGCCCCATGCCTCTGTTCTAAACTTTTTTAAACACGATCCTGCTAAGTTTTCTAAGTTGGTCTTGAACTTGCCCACTCAGGACTTGGATTTTCAATCTTACTGCATCACCCTCCCAAATAATTAGGACTTAAAGTTAACTCTTGATTATTCATCCTTATGAAGGCAGAAAGGTGCTCAAAATCCCAAGTGTTTTTCATGTGGCTTTGCAGTCAGTTTCATTAATTATAATTATCAACAGCCAAAATGGTAGTAGTGTACTGTAGTAACTGTGTGTGTGCACTTACATCATTAAAGCACTCTCTCCTTCCATTTTCTTACATGTAAAACTGGTTAGATAACCTTAAAAATTCTTAATTGCTATGAATCCACAGACAGAAATACCTCGGTCTAATTCTGAGAATAAATCTTTTTGGGAGAGTCCATCCTGGGGATCAAATCCATTGTTGTGATCTTTTGTGCATGCTAGGCAAACACTCTACCACTGAGCTACATCCAATTTTACTGTTTATTTATTATTTATTTATATTTATTGAAAGGGTCTCCCTGTAGCCCCAGCTGGCCTAGAACTCACCATGTAGACCGAGTTGGTCAGGTAGACCAGGCTGGCCTCAACCTCACAGAGATCTGGGCAAAGATCCACCTATCTCTGCCTCCTTAGTGCTGCAATTAAAGGCACTCGCCACTGTGCCCATCTCCTACATCCTCTTTTAATATTACAGGTATTTTCTTCTTGTTTTTTTTTTGAGACAGGGTCCCCTTGCAGCCCTAGTTGGCCTAGAATTCACTAGCAGACCTGGCTGTCATAGAGATCCACCTGCCTCTGCCTCCCGAGTGCTGGGATTCCCCACCACACCAGCCCCATTACAGGTATTTTAATTTGCCAAGTCTGAGTAAATTAGTGACTAGCGTTTCACATGCATTATTTCCTTTGCAGTTGGCACTGTTAAGAGTTAACCTATTTTATGTCTAAACTCCCATCTCTTCCACGTTCAAGACTAGAAGAATCTTGCAAAAATATAATGAAAATAAAAGGGAAAAATAAGTCGTATTTACATTTTTAGTTAAAAAATGTTGGTTGTTGTGGTATGGGATCCAGTGACTGCAACACCTGCCACAAAATCTGGATAAAATCAAAATCACATAGTCAAGGAAAACAATAATCTATAAATCTGAATTTGGGCCTAACGTTTTTCAACGTTAAATAACATTGACAATCTGCCTGTGCTATGACTGGCTTCTGTCCTGGCAAAATGTTTGTCCAGGTCGGGCCTCTAGGGCTCACCTCTACAAGGCCTGGTGGGCATCCATCATGTGGTCATAGGTGAGACTAGGAACCAGTTAACCCTCAGAAACCAAAGTGCTTTAGGGAACTCAGGTTTGAAAATCTTCCTTTTCTCAGGTCAAAGGCTCTAACATGTAAGCCTCCAGAGGAGTAGGAGTAATTTACCAACCCAGTCTGTAACTCCGTCTTCCTGCCTCCAAACCCGCAGCCATTGCCTCCATCCTGGGAGCCAGAGCCTCCCTGTTGGGGCCCGCATCAGCCATGTTGTCCAGCCAGAGTGGGTGCTGCTGGGTCTTGAAGCAGGGCTTGTGGGGGGAGGGGAAATGCTGGAAGTTCTGCAACCACTGGAGCCTGCCATCCAGTCCAAGGCCCCAAGGCCCCACCCCAACCACACTGCTATGGGAAAATCAGACAACTCACCCATCCTGTGGCTCCAGACTCCTCAGAAAGAGGTTGCAGCCCCAAGTTCATTGGCTCAAAGAAACATCTGTTTAAGTGGTATCAAAGAGTCCCAGGTCCCCCACCATCCCCAATATAAACTTTGTGGGCCAGAAGGCCCTTTTAGGCCTATTTTTCATGGTAGGACGTATTATGTATATATTAAGAATATTCAGTTCCGGGAGTACAGTCTTGATAGTATCTGAAATCTTAAATTGATGATCAAATGAGGTAACACAAGATGCCAGCTTGGTGTATCTTGTAGATAGTGGTAAATAACTGCTGCCATCACAACTAAAATGATTAGGTAGAATTTAGGTCTGGAAGGTTAAAAAAATGAAGACTTGTAGAACCAACACTGATTTATTGACTGAGAAAACGAGTCTACTTTTCTTTTTTTTTAGGGCTGGTGTACATATATGTTTCAATATTATCCTGTTTTTTGATGAACTGTTACCGCTCAGTTCATCCAATTAAAAACTGGGCTAGTGGATGGCTCAGTGGAAAGGCACTTGCCATACAAGTTACAAGGGCTTTGGTTTTGATCGCCAGCAATCATGCAAAAACAAACAAAAAACTGAGGGTAGCTGCATCTATCTGTAACCCCAGCACTGCCTAGACAATGGAAACAGTGAGTCCCAGGTTCAGTGAGAGACCCTATCTCAAGGGAATAAGGCAGAATGCAATACCGAACTGACTGCCTCTCTTGGCCTCTGCATGCTGACACATACTCATAAAACACAC